GATGAGGGAATGAGGGATCTGGGAATGAGGGATCTGGGAATGAGGCATGAGGGATAAAGGAATGAGGGACAAAGGCATGAGGGACAAAGGGACGAGGGAATGAGGGAATGAGGAATGAGGGATCAGGGAATGGGGGATGAGGGAATGGGGGATTGGGGAATGAGGGATAAAGGAGGGATGAGGGAATGAGGTAATGCGGGAATTCGGGAATGAGGGAATAGGGAATGAGGGATCAGGGAGGGATGAGGGAATGAAGGATGAGGGAATGAGGGGATGAGGGATGACGGAATGAGGGAATTAGGGGTGAGGGAATGGGGGATGAAGGAATGGGGAATGAGGGATAAAAGAATGAGGGATAAAGGGATGAGGGAATGGGGGGTGAGGGAATTCCCAGCTCCCACGAGGTGTTCCTGGGGTGCATCCCCTTCTCCCTGGGGTCATCCCCTTCCCCCGCGGGGCCCTTCCCGGCGCACATTCCCGCCGGTACCTGCGGCAGGGAGCCGGGAAACGCCACCTCCCGCAGCTGGAATTTGGGCACGCACTGGAAGGTGACGCTCAGCACCACCCCCAGGCTGCCCAGGTGCAGCCGCGCCGCCGGGAAAAGCTCCGAGTTCCGGGATTCCGAACATTCCAGGATGTCCCCCGAGGCCGTCAGGAGCGTCACGGCCACCACCTGCACGGGGGGAAACCACGGGGTGGGGGGGGGACAGCCCGGGATTCCTCGGGAATGCAGCGTTCCCTGCTGTTCCCGGGGATCCCAGGGCTCCTTCCCTGCCTGGAGACACCTTCTCCCAGGTTCCCACATTCCTTGGGATGCAGCATTCCCTGCCTTTTCCTTGTGATCCCAAGGCTCATTCCCTGCCTGGAGACACCTTTTCCCGAGCTCCTCCCAGCAGTCCTCCCGGGATTCCTCGGGAACACAGCATTCCCTGCTGTTCCCGGGAATTCCAGGGCTCATTCCCTGCCTGCAGCCGCCTATTTCCAAGCTTTTCCCACATTCCCTGGGACACCTTTTCCCTCTTCCCTTTGACTCCAAGGCTCATTCCCTGCCTGGAGACACCTTTTCCCGAGCCATTCCCACATTCCTTGGGATACCTTTTCTCTCTTCCCTGCCTTTTTCCCATCTCCCTCTTCCCTGTGATCCCAAGGTTCATTCCCTGCCTGCAGCCACCTTTTCCCAAGCTTTTCCCACATTCCTTGAGATGCAGCATCTCCCTCCCTCTTCCCTGGGATCCCAAGGCTCATTCCCTGCCTGGAGCCCCCTTTTCCTGAGCTTTTCCCACATTCCTTGGGATGCAGCATTGCTCTCCCTTTTCCCAGGGATTCCAAGGCTCATTCTCTGCCTGCAGCCCCCTTTTCCTGAGCTTTTCCCACATTCCTTGGGATGCAGCATCTCCCTGCCTCTTCCCTGGGATCCCAAGGCTCATTCCCTGCCTGCAGCCACCTTTTCCCAAGCTTTTCCCACATTCCTTGAGATGCAGCGTCTCCCTCCCTCTTCCCTTTGACTCCAGGTCTCATTCCCTGCCTGGAGATACCTTTTCCTGAGCTTTTCCCAGCCCTGCTCCCAGGATTCCTTGGGATGCAGCATCTCCCTCCCTCTTCCCTGTGATCCCAAGGTTCATTCCCTGCCTGGAGCCCCCTTTTCCCAAGCCATTCTCACATTCCTTGGGATGCAGCATCTCCCTGCTTTTCCTTGTGATCCCAAGGTTCATTCCCTGCCTGGATCCACCTTTTCTCGAGCTCTTCCCACATTCCCTGGGATGCCTTTTCCCTCTTCCCTGCCTTTTTCCCTTTTCCCTCTTCCCTGTGATCCCAGGGCTCCTTCCCTGCCTAGACCCACCTTTTCCCAAGCTTTTCCCACATTCCTTGGGATGCAGCATCTCCCTCCCTTTTCCCAAGGCTCATTCCCTGCCTGGAAACACCTTTTCCCAAACTCCCACATTCCTTGGGATGCAGCATCTCCCTCCCTCTTCCCTGTGATCCCAAGGCTCATTCCCTGCCTGGAGACACCTTTTCCCGAGCTCTTCCCAGCAGTCCTCCCGGGATTCCTCGGGAACGCAGCATTCCCTGCTGTTCCCGGGAATTCCAGGGCTCATTCCCTGCCTGCAGCCGCCTATTTCCAAGCTTTTCCCACATTCCCTGGGACACCTTTTCCCTCTTCCCTTTGACTCCAAGGCTCATTCCCTGCCTGGATCCACCTTTTCCCGAGCCATTCCCACATTCCTTGGGATACCTTTTCTCTCTTCCCTGCCTTTTTCCCATCTCCCTCTTCCCTGTGATCCCAAGGTTCATTCCCTGCCTGCAGCCACCTTTTCCCAAGCTTTTCCCACATTCCTTGAGATGCAGCATCTCCCTCCCTCTTCCCTGGGATCCCAAGGCTCATTCCCTGCCTGGAGCCCCCTTTTCCTGAGCTTTTCCCACATTCCTTGGGATGCAGCATTGCTCTCCCTTTTCCCAGGGATTCCAAGGCTCATTCTCTGCCTGCAGCCCCCTTTTCCTGAGCTTTTCCCGCATTCCTTGGGATGCAGCATCTCCCTCCCTCTTCCCTTTGACTCCAGGACTCATTCCCTGCCTGGAGATACCTTTTCCTGAGCTTTTCCCAGCCCTGCTCCCAGGATTCCTTGGGATGCAGCATCTCCCTCCCTCTTCCCTGTGATCCCAAGGTTCATTCCCTGCCTGGAGCCCCCTTTTCCCAAGCCATTCTCACATTCCTTGGGATGCAGCATCTCCCTGCTTTTCCTTGTGATCCCAAGGTTCATTCCCTGCCTGGATCCACCTTTTCTCGAGCTCTTCCCACATTCCCTGGGATGCCTTTTCCCTCTTCCCTGCCTTTTTCCCATTTCCCTCTTCCCTGTGATCCCAGGGCTCCTTCCCTGCCTAGACCCATCTTTTCCCAAGCTTTTCCCACATTCCTTGGGATGCAGCATCTCCCTCCCTTTTCCCAAGGCTCATTCCCTTCCTGGAAACACCTTGTCCCAAACTCCCACATTCCTTGGGATGCAGCATTGCTCTCCCTTTTCCCAGGGATTCCAAGGCTCATTCCCTGCCTGCAGCCGCCTATTCCCAACCTTTTCCCAGCCCTCCTCCCGGGATCCCTTGGGATGCAGCATCTCCCTCCCTTTTCCCAGGGAATCATTCCCTGCCTGGATCCACCTTTTCCCAACCTTTTCCCGCATCCCCTGGGACTCCTTTTCCCCCGGTGGCCGCCATTCCCGAGGCTGCCATCCCCCTGGAATGCTGGGAATGCCGGGAATGCTCTCACCATGGTGGGGAGGATGCCGTGGGCGATGCCGGTGTTGTGGGTGCCGGTGCCGATCACTCCGCCCGCCGTCACCTCCGACACCGCCCCTAAACTGGGAATATCCCGGGATCAGGCCCTTCCCGACGGGAATTCCCACGGAGGAGGCGGCCCCTTAACTGGGAATCACCCCTGGGAGAGATCCCTCAGTCCCTCAGCCGGGATCAGGCCCTTCCCGACGGGAATTCCCACGGAGGAGGCGGCTCCCACTGCTCCAGGAATGGAGGAGGTGCCACCAATCCATAGGGATGGGACCCAGGGAATGGGATGGGATGGGATGGGACCCAGGGAATGGGATGGGATCCAGGGAATGGGATGGGATCCAGGGAATGGGATGGGATCCAGGGAAAAGGGTCCCTCCATCCATAGGGGATGGGATCCAGGGAATGGGATGGGATCCAGGGAATGGGATGGGACCCAGGGAATGGGATGGGATCCAGGGAATGGGATGGGATCCAGGGAAAAGGGTCCCTCCATCCATAGGGGATGGGATCCAGGGAATGGGATGGGATCCAGGGAAAAGGGTCCCTCCATCCACAGGGATGGATATCCAGGAACATCCTGCACATGGAACCAGGGGGGGAGTCTGGAGGATCCCAAGGGAAAGACACCGGAAAAATCCCCAGGGATGGATATTCGGAGGATCCCCAGGAATGGACACTGGGAGAATCCCAGGGCTGTCTATCCCAGAGGATCCCAGGGAAAATCCCAGGTCTGGCATTCCCGAGGGTCCCAGAGCTGACTATCCAGAGGATCCCAAGGAAAATCCCTGGAATGTGTATTCCGAGGGTCCCAGGGCTGGACACTGGGAAAATCCCAGGGAAAATCCCTGGAATGTGTATCCTGAGGATCCCAGGGCTGTCTATCCCAAGGATCCCATGGAAAATCCCAGGGCTGGCATTCCCGAGGATCCAAGGGCTGGCATTCCAGGGGATCCCAAGGAAAATCCCTGGAATGGTTATCCTGAGGATCCCACGGACAATCCCAGGGCTGGCATTCCCAAAGGTCCCAGGGCTGGACACTGGGAAAACCCCATGGAAAATCCCTGGAATGGTTATCCCGAGGATCCCAGGGACAATCCCAGGTCTGGCATTCCCGAGGGTCCCGGGGTTGGACACTGGGAAAACCCCATGGAAAATCCCTGGAATGGTTATCCCGAGGATCCCAGGGACAATCCCAGGTCTGGCATTCCCGAGGGTCCCGGGGTTGGACACTGGGAAAACCCCATGGAAAATCCCTGGAATGGTTATCCCGAGGATCCCAGGGACAATGCCAGGGCCGGCATTCCCGACGTTCCCATTCCATGCCCTCACTTGGGCAGGGCCATGCCGAGCTCGTCCAGCGCCGCGTTGAGGCGGGACAGGAGGATCCCGCCCTCCACCGTCACCTGCAGCTTCTCCCGGTCCGCCTGGGAAAGCAGGGAATTCACAGCCCATGGAAAAACACCCCTGGGAAACCCCCGGGCTCTTCCCAACCTCCCCCCCTCCCCGGGAATTCCCGCTCCTCCAGGAAATCCCGGAATGGGACCTGGGACGATTCCGACCCCGATCCCGACATCCCTGTCCCCAATCCCAACATCCCTGTCCCCAATCCCGATATCCCTGTCCCCCATCCCGACATCCCTGTCCCCAATCCCGACATCCCTGTCCCCCATCCCGGGCTCTGGAATCTCTCCCAGGAATTCTGCTGGCCCCAGGAGTCAAAGATTCCCTGGAAAAACAAGCACTTCCCAGTTCCCAGGGGAAGCAGAGCCTGATCCCAGGGAATTCCCAGGGGGGAAGGAGCCCTTCCTTAATTAATCAGTGCTGTTAATTAGCAGGAATGACCCAGAACCTCCTGCTGGAGCCGGGGAACATTCCAGAACCCGTTCCCCCTTGGAGGATCCTGTTCATCCCAGCAGGAAAGGGACCCTTCCTTAATTAATCAGGGCTGTTAATTAGCAGGAACGGTCCAGAACCTCCTGCTGGAGCCCATGGAACGTCCCAGAATCCACCCCGACCTGGAGGACCCCGTTCATCCCATCAGGGGATGGAATTAATTGCCCTTGATTAGTTAATTAATTAATTCCTGTCATTAGTTAATTGTCCTTAATTAACCAGGGCTGTAATTCCTGGGGGTGCCCCAGAAGCTCCTGCTGGAGCTGGGGAACATTCCAGAACCCATTCCCGCCTGGAGCACCCTGTTCATCCCAGCAGGGATTGAATTCATTGCTCTTAACTAATTAATTAATTCCCTTAATTAATTAACTGCCCCTAATTAACCAGTGCTGTAATTCCCAGGGGTGCCCCAGAATCCCCTGCAGGAGCCGGGGAACATTCCGGAACCCATTCCCACCTGGAGCACCCTGTTCATCCCAGTAGGGATTGAATTCCTTGCTCTTAACTAATTAATTAATTTTCCTAATTAATTAACTGTCCTTAATTAACCAGTGCAGTAATTCCCGGGGACATTCCAAAGTACACTCCCACCTGGAGCACCCTGTTCCTCCCAGCAGGGATCCAATTCATGGCCCCTAATTAACTGTCCTTAATTAACTGCCCTTAATTACTCATTAATCATTCCCGACCCCTTCTCACCTGGAGCAGCCTGTTCATCCCACTGGGGATCGAATTCCTTGCCCCCAATTAATTAATTAATTAATTACTGATCCCTAGTGACTGATTAATCCCTCATGACCTGGAGCATTCTGTTCATCCTATCGGGGATCGAATTCATTGCCCCCTAATTAATTAATTAATTATTGTCCTTAATTAACCAGTGCTGGAATTCCTGGGAGAGCCCAAGAACCTCCAGCAGGAGCCGGGGAACATTCCAGAACCCATTCCCGCCTGGATTACCCTGCTCATCCCAGTAGGGATCCAATTCATTCCCCTTAATTAATTAATTAATTCCCTTAATTAATTAGCTGCCCCTAATTAACCAGTGCTGTAATTCCTGGGAGAGCCCCAGAACCTCCAGCAGGAGCTGGGGAACATTCCAGAACCCATTCCACCCGTTCATCCCACTGGGGATTGAATTCATTGCCTCTAAATAATGAATGAATTAATTAATTCCCTTAATTAATTAACTGCCCCTAATTAACCAGTGCTGTAATTCCCGGGAGTGCCCCAGAACCTCCTGCAGGAGCCGGGGAACATTCCAGAACCCATTCCCGCCTGGATCACCCTGCTCCTCCCACCGGGGACGGAATTCCTTGCCCCCAGTCGATCAATTAATTAATTAATTACTGGCCCCTGATGAGCGATGAATCCATTCCCACCTGCAGGACGCTGTCCATGTGTCCCAGGTGCAGGAGGAACCCGTCGGTGCAGGCGATGTCGGAGGGGGAGTGGCCGCCCCCGACCACCTTCACCCGCCGGCCCCTCTGCTGAGCCAGAGCCAGGATCTGCGGGAAGAACCCACGGAATTCCCGCTCATCTGGCCCTGAAATTCCCGCCCTGCCAGCCCCATTCCCACTCATCCAACCCCATTCCCACCCATCTGGCCCCAGA